TGATCTGAGCACTTGGCTAGTCTCTGTATGCAGGATAGTGCACATAGCACACAAAGCCGGTGTGGAGACGGCGTCACGTAGGTGGCCCTGCGGGTCGCGCATAATACTTGATGGCAAGGGCAAAAGTGTGATGGCTTGGTGCGATGGCAGAGGTGGTCATCGGTGTCCCGGGCCAAGCACGCACACACACTCATCAAAAGAATGCAGCCGGCCCCCGTTCCGGATGGGGCCAGCCAACCCGGTTCCAAAGCCAAGTTATATCAAACCGGCGCCAAAGGAGTCGACCAAGTCAGCTCCACGATACGCCGGCGTTGCTTCTTTCGGCGGGGGGCTCCAATATCAAAGTGTGCGCTTCTAACCATTCCTGAGGAAGAGGAGAGAGATGGCGGATCTGTGCGCGGTAGAGTTCGGCTACACAAGAGTCAGCAAGATATTAGGAAAAGAGTCAGGCTGGCATCTTCCAAAGCAGCCAAGATCCTCAATCATCAGAGCCCAACATGCAGCCATACGATACTCGTACGTCCCAACCAAGGCACGGCTCGTTCTCAAAGCGGCCAGCAATCCCCCCAAGGCCAACACCCACACCGAAGCAGAAACATATCTTCAGGCAGGAAACCCCCCTGTAACCCTGTAAGAGAGAAGCCCTTCTGTCTCCCACCCCTGCCCGGGCCCTTCTGGTAGCTAGTAGAAGGTTGGGCTGGTCCTCCGCGACAGGTGCAGCGGTCCTTGACGTAAAGCAAGCCGCGGTCCAATTGGCAATCTTATCAGGGCCCTTGAGAGGAGAAGGAGGAGCACTAAACGCTGTGGATAGCGTAGTGGAGGGCAAGGGGCCAGTGGGAGCTCAGTCGTTGGCGTCACCATCGATGGGATCGCGATCGCAGTCTCTGCTGTGCTGTGGTGTAAGAGGCGTAAGAGAATACAAAGGCGCTGTTGTATAACATCAGACGGAGGTTTTGCTCCGGAGAAAATGCTCCGGCCCGCACTGCAAACGAGGTGGACGCCTCCATCTGCTGCTGGCCCACTACAATAGCAGGGAGAAAACAAGATTGGAATAACTTCAAGGTTCTTGTTTGACCAAGTCTGACTGTTGGGGCCAGATGGCTCCATTCCGAGTTGAACAGGTGGAAAGATTCTGACCAAGCCAGCGCGCAATCTCGATGACGGGCGAAGATTTTAATTCCTTGATGCTGCAAGGGAGAGTCACGTGAATTATCACGTGCTGTTTCGGCTCCCGAAACTCCCCTGTATCCTGGCAAGCCTGCATATCCACCTTTCGCTTGCTGGAAAAGAGCCCGACTCGGCTAAATCCATCTGTCAAAGGCTCAGCCCGCTTTGCTTCTCCACAGGATTGTCAACAACCGGTTTTCTGCAAGCCACTCTGCATCATGTTCCGTTGGCCACTACGGAGCCACCACGGAGCACTCATGGAAACGGTAAGTCCTATGTGGCGGGAGCTGGAGCTGCTGTCCTAGGCAGGCGGAAAAATCTCCAGCCTGGCTTGGGTATTTACGGACCGAAAGCTCCCTGGAGGACCCTGGGTCAGTCAGATGGTTCAAACTAGATACAGGAACAAAGCACAAAGGACAGGCAACAGACAACGAAGAATGGAGCACAGAGTCTGTAACAGAGCACAGAGTACAAAGCAGAGCTTGGGCAATTGCGTCACATACCGTATACAGGCACTTCTGCGGCACGGCACGTTGCCAAAACCAGTTGAGGCCTTAGCAACGTGCCTTCGTCTCGGTTGGAGCTTGTGAGATTGGATGTTAATGGCGGATGGCGCCGGCCTCCAACTTTCGAGGTCTAATGCATGGAAGCGACAAAAGGTGGCGGATTAAGCTGGCGAGCTAAGAGCCTCCTCATCACAAAAAAAGAAGCTATCCACGAACAGCAAGGCCATAAGGGGAAGAAGCACCCTTCCCGCGACCAATTAATCTAAACGTGCGTCAGTGCGTGTCCCTGCTCAAGACCAAGATGCTCGGATATCACATCTTAACTCCAGCTGGGCATATGCCAAAACCTCACTCAACTTTGAAGATGCAGATGTAACGTAGAAACCTTCCATGCCAAGAAGCATGAACACAGGTATCCACGAAAACTCCTTAAAGCCACAGCCCAGGGTATGCGAGGCGAGTGAACCCTTGTCCTTCGCGAGGAGAAGTTTAATCTGCTGTCGGAACTAACGCAGCAACCCCATCAAATTGAGAAATGGGGCTGACAGGCGTTCCGCCTTGGCCCATGATCCATGCCATTCTTCTATCCCCAAAAGAACCAATGTCGTCATCAGCTCTCCAGTTTGTGCCAGGGCCTCCGCAAAAGCATGAATCTGTGCCAAGACGAAGCTGGCCCTAGCGAATCGCGGGAGCGGCTCCTTGCCGTCTGTCTGCTGTCGAGTAACACACTCTTCTCAAACCGAGCGCTAGCAGTATCAACCACGTTTCATATGTCCATGATGCAGCTTGCCCTACCCTGAAGGTTGCAAAGAAACCTGTTGTAAGATCTTTATCTTGTGCCAATAGCTGATAGAACAAAGATCTCAAAGGCTACATTGGTACTGCGAATCATGGTTCCTATCTCTGCGATTCCAGTGATTTCCTTTTATAGTAGGTATAAGTTAAAAGCTGCAAATTGGTGACATTTAACGAGGCGAGGCTCTCCAACATCTAGACAAATGGTCATCGAAACAGTGTTAACTTCTCTGAGCTATGGATCGGGTCAAAAATGTTGTTAACCCTCACTCCACGTATTACATAGCTACATCGAGGCAATTCTCTTTCAAGCCTGGAGAGGGACTAAAAATGCTGTGAAGAGGAAGAGGCTTCGGACTAGGCTGTCAATACCTGGAAACTCAGATCTACAAATCTAACTAAAGAGCCAAACCCCAGAATTGCTATCGAATTACAGAGCTGTCAATCTAACTACATTTTACGTAGTTCATTATCTTTTAGGATCGTGGAAGGAGTTGTGCGCTGTCGCCGCTGCTTTTTTTACATCTCATCAGACCAAAGGGCTTAAAGACCACATTAGTAGGTACTGCGATGTGCGATTCTTAGATCTGCGCAAGATCAAAGTGCGGTATTTTAAAGACTCCCTTTCATGGTACCTCATCCAGCTTCAAATCTGTTATGATTGGCGGTATCCAGCACCTAAACAAGTCATTGGGACAGTGTTCAATTCCTCTGAGCCTTGGATTGAGTCAAAAATGCCGTGAAATCCCACTACACGTATTACATAGCTATACCAAGGCAATTCTCTCACGCCTGGGGAGGGGTTAAAAATGCTGTGAAAAAGACTTGAGTCGCCCGGCCCCGGGCGCCGGTCCTGTGCGCCGGTCCTGTGCGCCGGTCCAGGCTGTCGACACCGGGGAAATCAGATTTACAAATCTAAAGAACCAAAACCTAGAATCGCTGTCAATTCGCAGAACTGCCAAGCTAACTGCATTTCCCGTAGTTCATGATTTCCTGATGTAGCCGTGGTCCCGAAAGCAGACAATCGGCCTTTGAGAGCTGGCAATGACTGTATCAACCTATCTCATAGGCCATTCATCAGCTCATGATTTGTAGATGCGGCAGTAGTTGACATCAAATTCCAACGTGGCTACTTTACTGCCGCTATTTATATGATTATATACCTATCCGCAGTCAGTCTGATTGCTCGGAGAGCTGCAAAGAGAAGATACAAGGAGACACGGCTGCCAAGCAAGTCGTCCTATTAGCTTCATCCCCGAAGAAGTACCTACTCATTCTCTCTCCTAATTCTGAATCCCATAATATACACCTCCCTGTTAATTTGGAATGTTCGTGGGCGGTGTCACTGGAAAGTGTCTGTAGAATATGCAACATCGCCACATTCAAGGAACCTAGCTCAGAAGCGTATATACTGTCCCTTTGCACTTTTTACTGCCACAATATCTTTCCAACTATGGGATATCGTGATGAAAAGATGAGATAGACTGTGTGGTGGCAATATAACTTAAAGTTTGGGGCAATAGACCATATATATCGTGCAGCCATTTGTGGATATGCTACAGTGTAGGGTATCTCCGGTATCACCATTTGTGTCTGTGGTGTTTCGATACTCCTTTATTCATGCGTAGACAGTGTCTGCATCGAAATAACCATTTTTCAGTTATAAATAATTTGGGATTTTATTTTTTTGAAGAATGCAAAGAGCGTAGTGGAGAGTTGGAAACATTACGTTACATGTATCACAACATGTTGCGAATAGCCGGCCTTTCAGAGGGAGGCTTTCAACCACCCTTGGACGCACTTCTCCGCCCACTCTCAAACTACGAGGCGTTCAAACGTCAAAGAATACCGCTATAGGAGCTAAGGATTGTACAATGAGTCTTGGTAGTTTTTTTACTCCCATGTCTGCTGTTGGCTGAGCATTCCTGGTAGTCGTCATAGAATCGCGCACAGTGCGGCTTAATTCCTCGGTGACTTGTCGTTTCAACCTCGAACGGCATTTTAGGAAATCCGAGCAAGACCGAGTATCATACTATCGGCGCAACACAATTTGCGAATGCCGTTCAAATGATGTGTTTCAAAGGATCGCTATGGCCTCTTCAAGTGGATTATATAAGTGGTGACACCCGGAGTTTAGCAAGTGTTGTCGCCGTGCTTCAGCTAGGCTAACCTCATTTCGTATTTGAGCGATCCATGATTCGGCAGGCTGTCGGCAGCTAATGAACCACGGTACCGGTAGTGCGATCCCATTGCTGTTTTGGGGAATTCGAAGTCCGTTCGCCTCATGATGTCTGGAGATCTGATTTCTAAGGGCCGGGGATACGGTCTATCAGCGAGAAGGGAGAATCCTGCAAAAAGTTGAGAATAGGGAGAAGAAGGGGTTGATATGAGAGTTGGGAAATGTATAAAGGGAAGACGAATATCGTCCATGTTGGCAATGAAGAAAGATCACAGCAACATAGCAAAGACAGACAGTTCTTCACCTTCATCTTATATATCAGATCACCTAGAACAAAAAAAAAAATCGCCATCATGTCCATCAAGTACGCCAAAGATCAGCCCGCAGGCTTCACCAACCGTATTGAGAACGTGGCCATTATTGGAGTAAGCTTAGCAATTGTCGTCTTACCTTTGATTCTGTTTCATGGTTTGCTGATCAAGTTTTCCATAGGCTGGAGGCCAAGTTGGCAAGTATATTGCTGAGGAGCTGCTCAAGACCGGAAAGCACACTGTTACCGCCATTACCCGTATTGGAAGCAACAGTGGGCTTCCTGCTGGGGTCAAAGTCGTCCAAGTCGACTATGATGACGAAGAGACCATCGTTGATGGGCTCAAGGGCCAGCAGTTCCTCTTCATCTCCCTTGCCGTGACAGCTCCTAGAGATACTCAGACCAAAGTCATCGCTGCAGCAGCCAAGGCTGGTGTGTCGTGGATCATGCCCAACTCGTATGGCGGCGACTTTGCCAACAAGCAACTTCTGACGGACATCATGACCGCTCCCGGTGCCCAAGCTTCCCAAGCTGCTGTTGATGCCATAGAAAAGGCCGGTATGTCTTGGGTATACATGAGTTGCAGCTTCTGGTACGAGTACTCGCTTGCCATGGGTGAACCATGGTATGGCTTCGATATTCCAAACAAAAAGGTCACCTTTTACGATGACGGCAAGACACGCATCAACACGTCAACCTGGATACAATGCGGTAGGGCGGCGGCACAGCTTCTTAGCCTCAAGGAGCTGCCTGACGATGAGAATGACCAATCGCCTACTATCTCTCAGTGGCGCAACAAAATCCTTTACATCTCCAGCTTCCTCGTCTCTCAGAGAGACATGCTCGACAGCGTGCACCGGGCGTTGGGAACAACCGATAGCGACTGGCAGATTGAATATGAGCCAACAGACGTCCGGTTCAAGCGAGGGCAGGAGATCTTCAAGACCGGCAACATCATCGGCTTTGGTATGGCCATGTACTCGCGCGTATTTTATCCCAATGGCGACGGCAACTTTGAGTCCAAGTATGGTCTGGCCAATAAGGTGCTGGGACTACCGGAAGAAGACTTTGATGAAGCAACCAAGCTTGCAGTTGAGATGGCTGAGGCTGGATTTGGGCCTCGCCGGCTTCAGACGATTAGCGCATTGAGACACTGAACAGAGAAAGCGGCTATCCAGCAACCCCCCAACGTGGTCCCAGCGACTGAGCAGTAAGCAAATGCAATTATCCGATGAGAGAGCGCGGCTAAGGGGAAGCGGAAAGGCTATGAGGGCATGTGTTCGTTAATAGTTGGTAGTTGGGCATCAAGTAGCACAGAGACAGATTGATTGGCGGGATTGATTGGATTCGGAGGGGCCCTCGGATGGTGAATGTGGCCCTTTGATAGTTATGATGATGTCCTTAGTAGGCAGATGGTATGAATATACTTGAAGTAGTTGTTCAAGTCTTTTCCATTTCAATGAACTCCCTATGAGAAGACAATGGATCGATATCCCGGAGGATGATACGGAGCAGTGGTATATAAACTTACTAGTGAGATGGATATCGCGGACGAGTAGCCTAATTATTTAGTACCTTGATCCATTGCTTAGAGAGGAATTGGAAACTAAGCTATGGATGGATCGTGATTAGGGGCAGAATCAGCAGAGGCCATGGGTGACGTCATGACTTTTTGGTAGCGGGGTTGAACAAAGGAGCTTCAAAGGTCCTTGATATGAGGTGAGAGAAGTTGCATCGCCGCAGTCATCTGCAGGGGGTTGAGGATGGGAAAATCAGAAAATTTGATACGAATTGGATCGGTAGGGAAGGATTTGCAGCGGTAATAGGACTTGATTGCCAGCTGTTGCAAGCTCGACACAGGCAAAAGCTTATATGTATAGTGGTTGTAGCTACCGAGTTCCGTAGCCTGCAGCCACCGCGTGGGAAATTATTGATGATTTCTTGGAATGAAGAATCAATTAATGCTGTATCACGGTGCTAATCAGCACGCTAGCGGAGATGACAGATTGATGCTGTCTCGTTGCCCGGGCTCATGGCATCATAATTGCATGGAGATGACATCCATGCTGCCGTGTTACAAGCATCAACACCATCGCTCGATGCCGTGCATTGCGCAATGCAAGCGCAGAATAAGCTCCGTTTGACTCGCTCAGTCGACCTGGAAGTACATGAAAGAGGGAACAAATAGAATGGGAACAAATAGTCCGTCAGCAGAGAAGAAATGGAGCCAAAAAGCAATTCGATCCGACATTTCCTTGATTCCCGCGTGGTTCCTGGTGCCTTGGAATGGCTCGCCCAGCGCCACTCGCCCAGCGCCTGCACCGTCTAGGCCAAGTCAAAACCACCATGACATGACACCAAAATCTGCCGGCCAACCAGCAGCATCTCTGGCTCGCTTGCGGGAAAAAAAGCAGCTAGAAGGAGAAGCAGTCTGATTCGCGTCTGGGATCCTTTTCGTCTTCCGCCCATCGCAGCCCAAAAGGGAGAGTCTTGCAACTGATCAAGCAATCCGGATCTTCCCTGTTTGTTCCTGATCTCCCTACCTTGCGAGGACGGCCTTGGAACTAACAGCAGTACAGCACCGCAGGCTTACTTAGCTGATCGCCACAGCAGTGCTCGATCCCTGCAAACCAGCAGCTGCTTAGGTACGCTAAGGCCGCTGTAACGAGCAGCTACAAAACCAGCCGCGGGGCACAGGCTTTGGGCCCCTCTCCTTTCTCACCATGAGCCCAGGAATCATGACGACCACGGAGGTTTATCTGCTGCAGCTCAACGACGACGGCTCGCCCCAGGTCGCGGGAGAGTACATCTACCTCGATCCAACGGGTGATGACCCCATCACCATCAGATTTGCCATTGAGGGCACCTCGTCCATCTGTCGCAATGGCAGTCTTTGGGTCAACATCCCGCAGCAGGGGGCCGAGTTTAGGCGGGACAAGTTTCGAGAGTACAAGTAAGCTCACGGTCGATGCCCAAGCAGTTCCCAGCTCGCCATGTCTGAGACAGAGAGGGATCTGCTTTAAAAATCGAGCTGAACTTGGCTAATAAGCATCACCATCACCACAGACTGACTCCCGACTTCAACCGCACCCTCGAAATCTCCATTCCCATCTACAAGTCTGGCGTCTTCGCCTTCTACACCACCTATGCCGAGCTGCCCAAACTCGATGCCGACGACGTTCCCAAGTCCACCAACGGCCACGAGGATCTGAAGAAGACTCCGGTATACTACATTGATGTTGCTCCCCGCCTCAAGCTGGATGGCCGGCCATTGCCGCTGCCGGCGTTGTCGCTCTTCTCCATCATCAGCAAGCTCATGGGCCGCTTCCCCGGCGATTGGGAGCGACACCTGCGGGGCATCAGCGAGAGGGGCTACAACATGATACACTTTACTCCTCTGCAGGTCCGTGGTGCCTCCAACTCGCCGTACAGTCTGTATGACCAGTTGGGCTGGGATCCGGCCTGTTTCCCCAAGGGCGAGAAGGACATTGAGCAGCTGGTCGAGAGTCTCGAGCAGAAATACTCGTTGCTGAGCTTGACAGACATTGTCCTCAACCATACCGCACACAACACAAAATGGCTAGAGGAGCATCCCGAGGCTGGTTACAATTTGAAAACAGCTCCCTGGCTGGAGTCCGCGTATGAGCTCGATACAAAGCTGATGGAGCTTAGCGGCCAGCTTGAGAAGCTGGGACTGCCCGTCGATATCAAGACTACAGAAGATCTCCTGGAGCTCATGGAAGGAATCAAAAAGCACGTCATCCTTGAGCTTCAGTTATGGGAATACTACGCCATTAATGTCGAGCGAGACGCTGACAACATTGTCGAGGCTTGGGTTGGTGGCAAGGCCAATCCGCCCCAAGTCGGCACTGCTACGTTAAGCGATTTCGAGCATCTCAAGACAGCAGAGCTCAAGGATCAAGTGGAGTTTATCAAAAAGTTTGCTCTCCAGGGAACAGATCGTCTAGGAGAGCGATTTCGCAGACGCGTCGAGCCCACTGTTGCCGCTACCTTGCTGTCATTTTCTCTTGGTCGATACGAGGGAGAAAACACACAGTCTGCCGACAAGGCGGCCGGTAAGGCCAAGTTGATCGAGGTCCTGGATGCCATAAACGTTGCGTTCTATGAAGAATACGACAAGGATCTTAACCAGATTCTAGAACAACTCTTCAACCGCATCAAGTATGTTCGCCTTGATGATCATGGGCCTAAGCTGGGTCCGATTAATGAGGCCAACCCTATTATTGAGACATACTTTTCCCGACTGCCAGTCAATGAGACAACAAAGAAGCTCACCCCTGGAGAGAGAGCACTGGCTAACAATGGCTGGGTATGGGGCGGTAACGCATTGGTGGATAATGCCGGGCCCGACTCTCGTGTGTACCTGAAGCGAGAAGTTATTGTCTGGGGAGACTGTGTCAAGTTGCGATACGGATCTGGCCCGGAGGACAGCCCGTGGCTATGGGAGCATATGACAAAGTATGCCCAGATGCTGGCCAAGTATTTTGCAGGATTCCGCATCGACAACTGCCACTCCACTCCAATCCATGTCGCAGAGCACATCTTGGACGAGGCCAGAAGGGTTAACCCTAACCTCTATGTTGTTGCCGAGCTCTTCACCGGGTCTGAAGAAATGGATTATGTCTTTGTGAAGCGGCTCGGCATCAGCTCGCTTATCCGTGAAGCCATGCAAGCATGGAGCACAGGAGAGCTGAGCAGACTTGTTCACAGGCACGGCGGCCGTCCTATCGGTAGCTTTGAGGTTGACGACATCTCCAAGTCAGATGTCAGTACACCATCGAGCTCAAAGGCCCCGGATCTTACAAGGGAGATTATTCGGAGGATACGACCATCGCCTGTCCACGCCTTGTTCATGGACTGCACCCATGACAACGAGCCACCTGCCCAGAAGCGTGACGCGCGAGACACACTGCCCAATGCCGCTCTTGTCAACATGTGCTCCAGTGCCACGGGAAGTGTCATGGGATACGATGAAATATACCCCAGATTGGTTGATCTCGTCAATGAGAAGCGTTTGTACACATCTGAAGCCTCAAGGACCTCGTCGATCAAGGTCGGAAGGGGCAAGGGCGGCATTGCTAGCATCAAAAAGCTATTGAACCAGATTCATACCATCATGGGCAAAGATGGCTACAACGAGACTCACATCCATCATGAGGGAGAATACATCACCGTGCACAGAGTGCATCCCGAATCTAGAAAGGGTTACTTCCTCATTGCTCACACTGCGTTCCCTGGATATGGCAACGGAAGAGGAGAATTCAAACCCGTGGTTCTGACGGGAACCCGAGCCAACCACCTGGGCAGCTGGATGCTCGAGGTCGACGACAGAGACGAAACTGTCAAGGCTGTGCAGGACGATACCAAGTTTCTTCGAGGTATCCCCAGCCAGGTAGTAGATGTACCTGGAATCAAGATGGAATACCATGACCAAGACACAATCATCTCCGTTCGGGACAAGTTCCCGCCCGGCAGCATTGCTCTTTTCGATACCTGGATCCCCACTGCAGAGCACTCTACGGGCTTGGATAACTACGTCACCTCAAGTGCCAAGGCAGCTTGGGCCAACCTGAACCTCATTGACCTCAACTTTTTGCTCTACCGGTGCGAGGCAGAAGAGAGAGACGCCAGCGATGGCCAGGACGGGGTATATGATATTCCCGGCCATGGAAAGCTCGTCTATGCTGGACTGCAAGGATGGTGGAGTATCCTCGAAGGGGTGATCAACGACAACAACCTTGGACATCCAATTTGTCAAAACCTGCGAGACGGCCCCTGGGCACTGGACTACATTGTGGGCCGCATTCAAAAGCAAAGCCATGCGCCAGGCAGTGAAGGTCTTTCTGGGCCGGCGGCGTGGCTTCGAGAGCGGTTTGAGGCCATCAGGGCCATTCCTAGCTTCCTGCTGCCAAGGTACTTTGCCCTCGCCATTCGCACGGCGTACCGAGCAAGCGTTGATCGTGCTTATGAACTTATGAATGAACACGTTGCCAAAGGCCAGTGGTTCCTTGGAAGTCTTGCCATGGTCAGTGTGCAGCAAACTGGGCTAGTGAAATCGGCCTCTCTTTGGCCAGACAAGCAGGTACCGTCTATTGCTGCTGGCCTGCCGCATTTCGCAGTGCAGTGGGCTAGATGTTGGGGCCGGGACGTCTTCATCTCTATCCGTGGACTCTATCTCGGCACCAGTCGTTTTGCAGAGGCAAGGGAGCACATTCTTGCCTTTGCCAGCGTTCTCAAACACGGTATGATTCCCAATCTCTTGAGCAGCGGCGCTGCACCGCGATACAACTCGCGAGATTCGGTGTGGTTTTTCCTCCAGACGATCCAGGATTATACCCGATTTGCACCAGAAGGGCTTGATCTCCTCAAGACAAAAGTCCGGCGTCGTTTCCTCCCGTATGATGACACTTGGTTCCCGGTGGATGACAAGCGAACATACTCTACTGAGAGCACAATCGAGGAAATCATACAAGAGGCTCTCCAGAGACATGCTTCGGGAATGAAGTATCGCGAGGCAAATGCTGGACCCCAAATCGACTCTCAGATGAAGGATGAAGGCTTCAACCAAGAGATCAAGGTCGACTGGAATAATGGAATCATCTTTGGCGGCAACCAGTTTAACTGTGGTACTTGGATGGACAAGATGGGAGAGAGTGACAAGGCCGGATCAAAGGGCGTCCCCGGAACTCCGCGCGACGGTGCCGCCATCGAAATCACTGGTCTGCTCTACAGCACGCTCAGATGGGTAGAACAACTCCACAAGCAAGGAAAGTTTGCCCAGTCCGGCGTCAAGACTGCAGAAGACAAGGTCGTCTCATGGACGGAGTGGGCTGATCTCATCAAGGCCAACTTTGAGAAATGCTACTACGTACCGCTCTCAGCTGAGGAAGATGCAAAATACGACGTTAACCCCAGCGTTGTCGCTCGCCGGGGCATGTACAAGGATCTGTACAAGTCTGGAAAGGAGTACGAAGACTACCAGCTGCGACCAAACTTTGCGATCGCCATGACGGTAGCGACAGATCTGTTCGACCCTAAGCATGCCTGGCAAGCTCTATGTCTTGCAGATTCGACGATCCGCGGGCCCACTGGCATGGCGACTCTGGACCCTGCAGACAAGGATTACCGCCCGTACTACCGCAACAGCGAGGACAGCCACGACTTTGCGACAAGCAAAGGTCGAAACTACCACCAGGGCCCCGAGTGGCTGTGGCCGACGGGCTTCTTCCTCCGCGCGCTGCTGAAGTTTGACCTTCAGCGGAGAACGACGGCGGAGGGCAGGATTGAAGCATTCCAGCAGGTGACTAGGAGGCTGGCTGAGTGCAAGCGAGCTATTAAAGAGAGTCCGTGGGCGGGATTGACGGAGCTTACCCAGAAGAATGGAGAGTTTTGCGGCGATTCTGTGAGTGTTATACCTATCTTCTTCTTCTTCTTTTAAATCATTAAGTTTTTCAATATCATGAAGCTAACCTATTTATTTACAGAGCCCGACGCAGGCATGGTCTGCAGGCTGCCTCATTGATCTGTACATGGACGCCATGGAGGAGCAGGAGAGTTTGAAGCAATGAGAGATGCTTTACGACAAATTCACGAGTAAATGATATTAGCATGATGTAAAAGGGAAGGCATTTTTCGGGGGAAGGGCGCATTACACATGGTTAATTTGCAAGCTGAGCTGAAAGAAGAAGAAAAAAGAAGGTGTTTATTTGTTTCTCTCGAGTTCCAAGGAATGTACCACCCCCTTTTTTTGCTCTAAAGAAAAATGAACAACAGGTAGAGCCACCGTGACAAATGATGTGACAGACATGTCTCTGTTCCATACCCCCACACACTTCTTCTTCTCTTCTCCCAGATGAACCTCAACAATGTTGGAAAATGATGATATGTCGCGTTTGCCCAAAAAATCTCTAATTTCTCACTCCCCTCCCTCCCTTCCTTGCTTAAAAAATTGACAAGAAATATCCCAACACAAAAAACAGAGCCAACGCCAGAATCCAAAAAAAAGAGAGGGGACTAGTAATAAAAAAGATTTGTATAATTGAAAAAAAAAGATGTCGACAAGGAGCGCCTGTTGAATGAGGAGTGCGTGCGTGATGGCGTGAAATGAGAAATGGTTGTTTCGGGGCGGGCGGCATCTGTCAAGAGGATGAAGTTGAAAAGGAAAAGTGTCGTAGTGCTCGTCTTGAATTAGGCTGCTAGTATATTTCTCATCGCTCTTTTTCTCTCTCCGTCTTTCCTTCTCTTTTCTTCATATTTTCCTATTTCTCGTGCTTCTCATGACCGGGAAAAGGGCCACAGCTTGGTCGTCGTGTTGCGCTTCTCCGAGGTTGACGTAAAGTTGGGCAGTTCGGGAGTTGCGTTGGTCTTGTCCTGGTAGGTCATGGGGATGCCGGGAGCGCCCTCCGAGGGCGGGACGCCTGAGCCCCAAGAGTCGGTGTTGCCGCCGACGGCTTGTCGACGAAGATCACGCCTGCGGATGTAGCGGCGGCGCCAGATGCAGGCGCCGATCCAGATGCCAGCGATGCCGACGACGAGGATGACGAGCATGATGACCCATTGGTAGTGGGTGGAGATCCTGCATCGAGGAGTCAGTATCAACATGTCAACTTGAAACTTGTCTTTGATGAGACTGGGGTATCGCGTACCAATCGCCGCTGGGGGCGTCTGTCCGCTGGGGGATGCCGGAGCCTGAGGGACTGCCGCTAGAGCTGGAGATGGTGCTGGTAGATGAAGGCGCAGCTACGTTCTTGATGTTGCAGACGCTGTGATACCAGTTGGTGATGGAAGCAAGGCCGTTGGGTTCAGCGGTACAGGCCTGGTCGCAAACGCCGGCGGTCGTGGTGGAAAAGGGCGCAAGGCGAGAGTCGAAGCAAAAGCATGACGTGTAGACAGCGGGACTGTTGGTGGGAATGGCCGGGGGGACACAGGCGCCGTTGGCATCGTAGAGATGGCCACAAGCAGCCGCACAAGCGGGAAGCAGGGCGCGGTTGCCAAAGGGCACGATGGTGGTGATGGGCGCTTGAGCAACTGCTGATTTGTTAGATTGCGGACCGCTCGGAAGAGGCCGTTTGGGTGAGAGAGGCAGGCTTACCCATTGTGACGTGATGGAAAGAGGGATATTAAGGCTCAGATGCGAGAGGAGAAGAGGTCAAAAGTATGTACGTGAAGTCCGTGACGGCGGCGAAGAAGAATGAATTGCTGGGGAGAATCTTGACGGCCAGCGCCAAACCAGAAGCAATGGAAGCGAGAGAAGATGTCGATATTTCTGTTGGTTTCAGAAACGGCGCTTGTTCAAACACCGTGGGTCAACAGGCGCTGGTGCGAGGCTGCGTGAAGATGCGAGAGCGAGAGGAAGAAAAGGTCGGGAAAATAGTCGTCGATTCGAGCGATAGCAAAGCAAAGCGAGTCGTATTGCTGTCCTTTGGGGTTCCTTTTCTTTTCTTATTTTGACTTTTCCGTCTTCGTCTCTGATCGGGAGTCGCCTGAGAATTTACGAGAGCGGCTGACTTAAGCGAGTGGAGAGGAGTTGGAAGGTTTGCGCAAGTAATTTGGTGGCACCGGCTGAGACGGGAAGACGGCTCGAGGGGGGGAAATATCGACAAAAGTAGCGAGAGGAAGTCCGACGCTGGCGATGGACGGCGTGTTTGGTGTTTTGGGCGAGAGGAGAGAAGTCGTGAGAATGGATGGGCGAGGATTTGGCATCGAAGGGGAGAAGAAAAAGAGTGGAGGGAAACTTGGAAAGCCGGGCTCTAGAATGGAATGGATGGAGCGTGTCCAGTGCAGGAAGGACGCTGTGAGGCCTAGGCAGGCCTTAGCGCTGCCGTATTAGCGGCGCTGCAGCGCTCCCAGGGCTCCGTTTCGCGCAGCTGGCACAGCCCTCGAGCGCTAAGAGGCGCCCCGTCGGGAGCAACGAGGGCCTGTAGAATCCCGTATTCAGCGAGGCGACGGGGGGGCGTCAGCGGGAATACGGCCTGGACCCTGATGGGGGATGGCGCCAGCGTTGGCAGACTGGGGTTGAATGAATTGATTGAATGAAAACGGGGAGGGGATGATTGCGAAAGCGGTTAGAGAGAAGAAAGGGTTTTTGGCGAGTGAGATTTAGAAGGTTTAATGAATGGAAACAAAACAGTGTACAGTAGTAGTATCGTGACGTGTTAGTGAGAGGGTTGAAGGGTTGAAACAAACTGAAGTTGATCCAATGTACTGAAACAAGCGGCTCAAGGAATGAGACCCTGATCAATGCATGAATGCGAAGTACAGATACATCCTCCATGAAGTTCAATATTGATTAATTGCTCTGCAAGTGGCCTCGAAACGGGAGCACGGACGGCGCATTGAATGTCTGCAGCGTCAAAGGCCTAACAGTTTTGGGGAGCTGCTTGCGGGTGCAACGGGTCAAGTCAACGTCAGTGGCCGGGTACGTATTCCATTAGCTGGTTGTGGAGGGGCGGGTAAATGCGAAAAGGTCGCTGCTACGGGGTCTTTTGTAGAGGTACCAGACTGGGCCTGTTATTATGGTGCCCAGTTGAACGGCGTCAAATCATGGATGATTTCGGTACCAGACAGACAGAACAAAGTAAAGCACACAGATTGGCAATTCGCCAATCTTGCAACAAGTCTGCAGATACAGCTAACAGCGATAAGGTGCCGCCAGCACTAACATTACATACCTCAACCCTAACATACAACCAGATCCATGGATTGTTTCGTCCCTTTGACCCCTAATCCTTATCCCCACCGTACGTCATCTCGGCGCCAGTCAGTACCTGTACTCTGTGCCGTGTACCGAGTACATGCAGCCCGTCAAGGTCGAGGCACCGCCCCCCAGAATTTAGAGCCGTCAGTACCAGCATGTTACATGCAGCTCATACGAGGCAGCAGATGGAACCCAAAGGAGGGAAGAAAGGTCTCGTCTCATCTTGCCCTTTTCTCAACCTCGACATCTCAAACAAAACAGAGCCGTGCGATTTGCGTCGTCGTCAGCATCATAACTCCGAGCTGACCAATTGCGTCCCGCACTGCGCACTGTACGAGTTAGCCATCTTACAGCCAGTCCGTCCGTCTTCTTTCTTACCCCTGCACCCATCTTTGATCTCCGAAACAGGGGCTCAGCAATGATTGGATCCGTCATCTAAGTTCTCTTTCTAGCCTCGTGCTCGTGTTCGTGCCGCTGTTTCCCGCCGCTGCCCTGTTCAGCTAGCTGGGGAAACAAACCCGATCACCAGACGTCTCTTCCAAATTGCTTCTACTGCGACGCTACTTCTGGCTCTGTCTCGTGGCCGTCCATCGCGTCCATCTTATACAAACTCGGTCGCTGCTCTTTATGGCACCTGTCAAAACTGCGGGGAAGCAGAGGCCATCACCGCTATGGGCCGATCCAAGTCCCATCTCGGGCCAATATTCGGCCTTGTGCAGATCAACCACGTCTAGCTGACAGGCTCTGGACCGACAATCACTCATGATACTGCCTATTCCGTAATCACCACGGGCGCTATGCATACACGAGGCTTTGCCAAGCAAAAGGACGCGTACTGTATACTCGACACCAGCTTATACGTGGCTGCTGGTACCTACTCCTCCGAGATGAGGACGAAAGGCGGTGTTTTAATCTCCTACACTCGTGTTTCGACAATGCTCCGCCGCAGTCCTCGGTCAATAGGCCATGGAGCCTGCTTCAAACAACTCAATTCCGCGAGACACAAGGAGGATGATTCCCTTTGGACAGCCTCATGATTTTCAGCCCCCTATCCCTTGCGATCCATACATACAGTACAGGCCCCCAAAGCCTTAAGGGCAGAGCTATACTACCACAATTATATCATGGCTATTTTCCAGAGCCTTGAGTAGCCACTGTTGACCTATCATCATCCCTCGCCCTATTATTTTGTCGTTCACCCTGGCTGCTCTTGACAATGCCGACGACCACCCCAGGAGCCAGCCAGGGGTCACACTCCGTCGTGAATCTTTGGATCCCGTATGGCACCTGAGGGGCAGCTATGCTCGATTCCGTTAGTACTCTATCTCTGTCTCTCTCTGTCTCGACCATCCGGAGATTGCCATGACTTGCCTGTCTTTGACAAAGACCCACTGGGCTTATTCATCGCCTGTGGCTCTGTCTTGGTGGAAGTTGTGGTGTCTTGGGGCATATTGTACTAATCGAGCTGAACCAGTATAATGATGTTGGCTGTATTTCAGTTGCAATCAATGTCCAGCGGATGTTGTTTATCAAATCATTGGATTCAAATAGGCTGAGAACACGACAGCTCTCATCGGGACACCAACTCACTTTATACTCATCGATTCCTCTTCTTGGTTCAGGAACCAGTCAACGGCCCGTCTTCGACAGAAGCTTCTTTCTGGCCAATCCTAACATGTCACATACCGCTCAGCCTACCGCACGGTCCATTGTGTACATGTGTGCAAAATGCGCATAATCATATCGTTCGTTTATTGGCAGCAAGTTTTCTTCTCTATGAGTTTGGTGTGCATTTCGGTCCGTATCATACAGCCCTACCGACGCACAGCATGGATGGCTGCGCCTGCGCTGCTCTTCCGGGATCATGCGGGA